AACCACTGTAAGAAGAAATATTTGGACAGAAAGATTATAGATACAGAAATGGCTGTATAAATTGTCCTAATGAACTTCTCTAAAAGCAATCTGTTTAGCAAATTTTGCCACCATGAAGGTGTAAATGAAGATGAGATGAGGAAAGAGAACAAATTTGATTTCAAACTGACATTTTTTGTTGAACTTTATAATTTTTATTAAAAGATTTTGGTTTTTTAGTACTGTAATTAAAAGGTAAGACGATACGTGAACTTTTTGTATTCAGACGCTGTATTAAGCATGATGTAGGTTCTTTGGTTTCAGTTTGCCTTGCTATGTATATCTAAGCACTACAATTTATAAATCATTGCTTAGCATGTTTTATAAGCTAGCATTATTCTACATAGAAACCAACAACCTTCAGTTCCCTTTAACTCCCACTGGAACTATCTAATCCATATTATCTGCTGTGGCACTTTTAGCTCCCAGCCAGATTTTCCATTACTTAGCTACTTCTTCCCAGAATCCTTTCCAATCTTCACAGCATTTAAGACTTTACCATTTTTTTTTTTGCCCGTTCCATAACTGCCCTTCCTTCTCCTATAAGAACTATGAGAAGTCCCATGTCTCATTTCCTATGAGAAGTTAACTACCATCTGTTCCCAGCATTTTATTAGCAAAGCAGAGTACAATTTGGGCTACCCTCCTTTCTTCCATTGGTTCCTTCAGAGTCTCTATGATGTGAGTATACATGACCAGCCATCACCAAAGCCATGATAATGGCAGGCTTCTCACATTTTAGCTTCACAGAATAGGCCAAAGGTCTGCAGATGGCTAGGGAGGGTTGGTACAAATTACCGATTTGTAATTGGTTATGTCTCCATGTCAACTCTTTTATGAACATGCAGGTCTCACATTACACATTTGGCCAAAGCTCCTGGAACTTACTTTTAATATTACAAATGTGCCCCTTCCCCGAGTTACCCCTGCAGTAACAAGGAAAGTATTTCAACATATGTATTAAACATGTTTTTACCCATAAGATGAGGTGATAGTCACTAGGTAAGGCAGTTGTATAAAGTGAGTTTATTTTTATAAGAAAATCCTATTATGATTATATTGCAGCTCCGTGGTTCAGGGCAACATATGTTGTGAGTAGTAGTTGCTGAGAGAGAAGTTGGTTACATGTTTTGGTCCTCCGCCATCTGTATGGCCTCTCTGGCAAAGTATATGTTGCTGAACTACATAGGCAAGCCTTGCCTGGTGTTATGTTCACAAGACTGTTCTTTTGCTGTTTTCCTCCTCCTCTTGAGTCAAAACATTAAAAACTATCTCTACTTTCTTACCCTTTAGACAGAGGGTGCTTCAGTAATTTTTATATGGCCCTTTGTCAGCTGATGACCACAGTTAAAGCACAGACATTTTTAAAATAATGTTTGGTGGTAGGATTTTTTTTCTTTTTATCCGCACTCAATCGTGGGCGATTCTGTGGTGACTGCCTGGACAAGTCCCTGAAGATTTCAAGGCAAGTGTTTCGGAAGTGGTTTGCCATTGCCTCCTTCCTAGAGCGGAGCCCAGCTGGCAAGCGCAGGAGGCGGGGTTTCCATTGCTTTGCGCCTTTTTTGGGTGTATGCGGCTTCCGTGTTACCGGCAACCAGTCCCGTCTCCCATGCAAGGCACCGCCACCGTTTTTCCTCCCACCGGGGTGAGAGTACCCATTTATCTACTTGCGGATGCTTTCGAGCTGCTGGGTTGGCAGAAGCTGGGGATGAGACAGGAACTCACTCTACCGCACGGAGCTGTGCTCGAACTGCTGAAGTGTCAACCATTTCTGGCCGGCAACTTTCAGCGTCATTAAGCCACTGTACCACCACGTCCCCCCTGGTGGTATGATTAATGTTGAATAAAAACAATGCATGCACAAAAAACAGTTATTGATGGAATCACGTAAAAAAAAAGGATCATGGATATATTAAATGACAAGATGCTAATTGCTTCATTTTTACATTTCAAAGCCTGATACCAAGATAAATATTATGGATTGGGGAAGGCATGTAGATTAACAGCAGCCATAGGAAAGACAGATGGTTATATTCCATTAAGTGAAGCATTACAAGTCACATTCTTATGAATGTGGTATGTTCAGATAGATGCCAACTGCAAGTATCTTTAGCAATAAATTGTCAGGATACTTATGTATGTCCCACTGGAAGCAATATTTAATTTGTTTCTTGATTTTGAATTTGTTTTGAGATTCTGTATCTTTGACTAAACATCGGTGTCCACTTCCATCTTCTGCAGAGCTTTGGAAGTATGCATGTGACAATGAGGATGATTTAGGATGCCTGCCTACCCAGCCAAATTAGCCAAATCAAACTTCTTATTTTTGTTAAATTTCACTATAACATATAATAGACAGATAGATATCACTGCCATATTTCCCTTATTTGGTTTATACTAATACTTTATTTCCTAAACAATGTTGTAAATCTGGCTTCTAAATCATATTGATTTGCAATTAAATAGGGGTGAGGTTTTTTGCGGAAGGAAGGAAGGAAAGAAGGAAGGAAATGGAAGGTTTGCTTAAAACTATGGAAGATAAGCTTAAAACTAAAAAAAAAAAAAGGGAGGGGAGCATACATAAGCATGAATTCTAAAAATAATTCATTCTTACAGTGTTCAGCTAAAAAAGAAGCTGGAGCTGGCCTTTAGCAAAGCTAAAGGAAAGGCTCTTTCTCTCTATTGGCTTCTCTTGCAAACATTTCATTTATATTGTTTATTGCTAACTAGGCCTCCCTCTGTGACACTGTGCATAGTTTGCATAGTTCCCCCCAACACACACACTTCTTTCTTTCTCTATCTCAGTCTTGTTTCTTTAGTGAAAAAAAAAATCTTTAAAATGTTTCAGTATATGGTGATTCTTAACAAACCCTTGTAGTCTGTGGAGTGATATCTGAATTTATACAATCATCAATTTTAATAATTATTTATTAAATTTATGTGCTGTCTGACTCCTAGTGACTGTAATTTTGTCTCCTTTTTTTCTAGTATTGCTTTTTTGTTACTTTAATTATGACTTGCTGCTAGACATATACAGTATAGAGGAGTTTATTTTTGCGAAAATGAACTATCTTTATGTTCGATAGAGAGTAACTATTCACAACTGATAAGTGATTAAATAGTTTTTATATACAGAATAAGCTCTACAATGGCTCCGAATGTCTAAGTGGTTGACTGTAGGGTTATCATGCTTATATTCAAATTAACTAATTATATTCAAATTATTTAATAAAATATTTCAATGTCTTTAAGGCAATTTTTATTTTTAAAAATGCAACAAATTTTTATTTACCCTGGGCTTTCATTATTTTCTTCCTTTGAGGAGATAGTTGGATGGGTCATATCTGTATGTCCTTCTTTCATTTGATTTACAATGTGTGACAAGATGTTTCCCTTGCAGCATTTCCTTCTTTTCAGTAAGTCTTACAAGAGGAGTTATTGGAGAGTTCACTGTCCCTGAACTCAGACTGACGAGTATGTTAGGCTTTGCCTATAAGCAATAATGCATTACACATCAATCTGTGACAAATTTTTGAATATAGACGTAATTTATGTTTTATTTTTGATTTGTAGGAAGATTTGTAGAGTGAAACATTATCACACAATCCTTGAACTTTCATTTTTATGTTTAAAAAAAAACATAAATAGTTATTGACAAAGTTTAGAACAACCTTATTAAAACCAGAGCTGGAGGAAGTCTTTTAGGCTATCTAATCCACTCTAGCACTAAAGGATTACAGTAGTTGCAATGCTTTACCTTCAGTGACACTCTTTTTTCTTTGGGTAAAACATATTTCCTGAGCCAAATGAATGAGTTGTTACATAGCCATCAGAACTGTTTTTAGGTTTTTGAATATTAGAAAAATTTGTTCCTATTAAAAGAGTTTTGCTGTCCTTTATAAATCAGGTTTTTTTTATAAGCTAAAAAAATATATATTTAGAACATATACTATAATAAAGTGGCAAACTAACTGGGGACAAACAGTTAAAGCAGCCTGATATTTAGCAGGATGAATATATGTTGTATTACTTGTTATACATGTAGCACCAAAGTGCCAAAATATCAAACTTTCCAGTTCCTTAAACTCCTTTATTGTTTTATATTGTTACCTACTATTCTAATAAACTCTGCCGGTTTCAGGGTGGGCAACTTGGGGTCCTAACTTCATTTGGTCCCCAGACTTTATCAGATCTCAGGTAAGACACTATCTCTTCCCTGCTGCACTGGGTGGCATTTAATTTCGTTGTACAAGTAAGTACAATGACAATAAAGATTTCTAAAATCTTCGGAGAGGCAGAAACAGAAAATAATGAAGGGAAAGTATAGGAAATAAAAGGGAATCAAAGTAGGCGTCTCATTCATTTTTTATTCTGGCCCCATCAATTTCTTTATCATCATCCTTTATGTACCCACAACAGATTGGTTCTGTTGGAACACGGCCCTTGGATTTTTTTTTTTTTAAAAAGCTTCCCATCCCTACTGCTCTAAGATAAGGATTTGACTGAAAGATAAAATATTCTTCCAAAACTGATAATTTACTGAAGGTTAATAATTGTGCTTCTGTTTTGGAAGGTTAGGGACACCTAAACAGGCCTGGAATAGTTAGAGGTTTCCTGGGAAGCCTGACCACCTGACCACTAAAGTTCACCTCCCACTACTGAACTTTACAGCCTTCCCTCCACTTTTCCTTCCCAGTTAGGCTGGGAGAAGACAACATTCATCCTCTCATTCTCATTGCTCAAAAGGTTAATCACCTAAAAGATGATAGGAAGAAGGAGATTATATAGAGCAAGGTGGGAAATGAGGTTATAGATGGAAAGTATACCTTTTTAAGATGTTGGACAAATTGCTGTGGGGAGGGTTTGATAGTAAAAGGAAAAGAAACTACCTACTTTGGGATTTGAACCAGCCATCACTGCCAGGTGATCTGTTATTATTTTTCCTTAAGGAAAATGGCTGCATGGCCATCAACCCCAAGATTACTGTATCTGTCCAAAGTGAGTTCCGAAGAAAAACCCAAATGATCTTTCTAAAATTCATATAATTGATAATTAAATTGACACATACATCTGTCAATTTGGAAGGTAACAGATGGTTCGTATTTAAGAACCAGATATTAGCAAATGCCTGTTAAACTGATAGTGCTATGGTTATTCTTTCTCCTTTTTAAAACATTTTTGTAATAGTTATTCATTATACTTTCCACTTTCTCCTGTTTGTACATTTGCAGAACTAAGAGGTTTATGTGTAAGAGGTTCTAAGTACAAGTGATACTGAATAGGAAAGACAAATTCCATCAGTCTTGCTTTAAATATTGCCAGTAACCTCTGGGGAAATACTCTTATCAGGACCTTACATTTGGTTTTCCTCATCTCCATTTATAGGCTAGTAAGGCATTGGAAAATGCAGTAATTCCCTCTGAACTTAATACAGGATTAATTTAAATAGAACTATTTTTAAGTGAACTAGAGAGTACATAGAACAATTTTAATTTATATACATATTTATTGTGATACTCTGCTTGTGTAGGAGTTGCTAAATCTGTACAGACATTTCAGCTACACTAAAGGAGAGATGTCCATCTCTTATAGATATGTGAATGAATGAAATAATTCTGATTATTTGCTGTATCCTATGTTCATTTTGTGATTTTATTTTCTAAAAGCAAAGAACAAAAAACATTCTGGATCTTTTGTTTTGTATCCTCCTTATCTCTCACCCTAGCTGCTTAGAAAGTCTCATACCCTACCTTATAAATATGCAATTAAGACAAAAAAATATTAAATGTTAATTTTGAATAGGAATTATTTGGTAGTAATAATTTGGCAGTAATTGTTTCCACTGTAGTCAAATTTAGTCATAGGACTGTACAGTGTCTTTGTAGGTGAGAGGAAAATGTGCATTAAATTTTCCTTGTTTTTTTTTTTCTTGTTTTTTTTTTTTGTTTAAAAAAACACAGCTACACTTCACTTTGCAATACATAGGCTTGATTCCTGGAGCTGATTCAGCATTGACCAAAAAAAGTAATGTAGTTTGCAAACCAATAACATTCTTAATAGAAACTTGCTCTGTCCCTGAATGTGTCCTCTGAGAATACTGACTTGACTCGGCTATAGCAGAAACCCCAACTTGTGAAGCATGAAGGAGCTAAGAGCAGCAGTTGTCCTCCCACTATTTTAGACTGCGGTTCCCTAAGGAGAAAGACAGGCAGCGTAAAGGGATGGCATAAAGGGGTTGGCGTAAAGAGATTACCAAGATTTATTTTTATTGAAAATAAAAAGCAAACTTCTTGTCTTCGTTTTTCTTTCTTTAACCAATAGCTACTTAGGAGACTGTGAATTGTAAGAGTGATGTAGTTTCAAGTGGGTTGGACTTTTTCCTATTGTCAAACACTTTTCCACTCAAATTTTCAAACCATGTCCTATATATGTTTCCTGCTCCATGTGGGAAATTATAGACAATAATTTTTAATCATGTCCTCTATGCATTCCTATTAAAATGTTAATTAATGGAACAGAGGTTTCTTAAAGAAGATGAACTAAAACTGAGTGGTATCCTTTTATGCCAAACATAGTAATGATGATTCTATAATGAAAAATGACTGAATCAAGGTGATTAGTGTCTGGCACACCTATCTGAGAATTTGCATAAAATCTTAACTTTATGGTGTTTCATTGCATGCCAAAGGCCATATCAGTTATCTTTCTAAGGCTGCACATCTTACTTTTTCTCTCAAATTTTATTTTCCCTGTGCACTTTTTAGCAGTTGAAAATACCATCTGCCCTACTGAACAGGCATGATACTTTTTAGTTTTTCTTTGCCCCATTCTTCTCTCCTTCTAATTTTGGTATATCACAAGATGATTTTCACATTTCTGTATACAAAACTTCATTTATATATGTCTCTTCTTTGTCCTCAGCAAAAATACTGATTATAAATCTTTGATTACTGTTACATTCTCCTCACTGATTTTTCACTGTTTTACATTTGGTTTTACATCACTGTCTAGAACTCTTAAGTCAATGTTATTCTCTCGACTTCCTGATACATACTCTTAAATTCTAACATTAGTTTCCTGTCCAGTCCCAGATTTGGCTCAGTCCTTCAGAATCTTGCATCCTTAACTCACTCACTTATATCCTGATACTGTATATCTCTGCCCATGACATTTACTTCATCACAATAAGCAGCCGTTTAAAAGTTACATGTTGCCCCAAATATTTCCATCTCTCTCCTTCCATTCTCCACCTCCTGGGTTTGCACTGTAGTTTTTGTGGGCCCTAGGTACTTTTGCCTTCATAGGCCCCATCCTCCATAAAAAGAATAGTGCTAAAAATTATACTTCATATAATTTTCAATATTTCATTCATATTTTCACAGAGAAATTCATCAATTTGATGTTCACATTTTGTGCATTTCTTGCCTGTTTTTTATTAAAGGCATGAAAATAAAATTTGTACTTCATTTTTATTCTTTCTGATTAAACATTTTTGTGGGCCCAAGGCACTGTGCCTATTGTACCTAATTCATTAATTGGTCCTGCCCCTCCCCAACCTGCTGCCTCTTGTTCCTGGGCTAACAACTCTTTGCTACATATTTCTTCTTTATCGAAGATTTGTTCTCCAGAGCATCTTTTTCTGCCCCCTTTGTTTCCATGCCCCACTGCAGCCAGCCTGAAGTATCTGTAATAGGAATAGATACCTTTGTTTATTAATGTCTAGAAAACCCGCAGCTATTTCTGTTTGAAGGCTCAGAAATCTTCTAGGCAGTGCTTGTTTATCATCAGCATAAAATATACTTTGTTATTAAGCATGAAGAACTGTTTCTGTGAGCTTTTGATCAGACGTAACTTTTATGTCCGTATTTGATTCCAAAGAATTTTTACAAGTTTGCATGTACAAAATATAACACATTAAAAATTCCATAGCAAAGTATGTTAAATACTTGGGGTTTTTTTTCTTCTTCTTCTTTCTAGGACCTGTTTTTAATGTTTCGGTGCATTCAGATAGTCCAACCATTTATCGAGGTGAACTGGTAAATTTGCTTTGCATCATCACCATTGAAACAACAGTACTTGATCCAGGTATGATTTGAATCTCTTTTGCATTTTTAAACAGTTGATTTCTTTATCAGGAAATTTTGTGGAATATTTTCTAGCCTATATCCCATAACCAAGTGTCTTGTGGTTCACATTGGACTGTAATCAGAAGCTGTTTGTGCAAACTAGTAGTGGTAGGTGGAGTATCAGTTTTACAACTAAATCAAAAAGCTAAAGTTTTACTTTACTGTGAGAGGACCAATTGAAGTAATATTTTTCTGTTAGTATGGGACTTCTCAGAGTAACTGTTCAGTGAGTTTTGAATATATAATCTAGCTGAACACTGCATCTGGACACAAAATATTACTTTAATTAGTACAGTTTTCCTGAATACCAAGTCCATTATAAAAATCCAATACCAAGTCCAATATAAAAATTTACATTTTTCTATATAAGGGTTTAAAGGGTTTAAACTTTAAGGTTTTTCTTTAATCATCATCATACTTGTGATCATGCAAAATTCAGTATACTTCAGAGGATGTTTCTCTGAATGAACTGTCTAGTTCTAGTAGGTGTTCAACACACAAATATGGGCTTAGCTATTTTAGTATAAGCTATATTGCTCATCTCTACAAATTGGATATGTTTTGCAGTATGTTGAGGACACATCTTGGACAATCTAACTATTCTTCCTTAATCCTTAATATTTGCTTCACTGAAAATTTTCAAAAATCTTGCTGTGTTGAGAGAATTGAAATGCTCTTTTGTATGTGAGCCGTTCCTGAAATGTTGAGGTCAGTACATACAGTTGATAAGCCTAGTTCAGTTTGCAGCAAAATTAGTAAATTAATTCCGCTGTTAATGTCTAATAAAAGTAATAAATATTAGTGTAATTAATAAAGTGCAAAAATCTACAATTTGATAATTAAATTTAAAGCTCTGCACTAAATGTGATTGCCTTTACCTATTTAAAGTCTCTCTTGAATCAAGCTTGACTTCTGGTGACTATATAGACACATCCATGTTGATTTCTTGGCAACAATACAGAAGGGTTTTTGCTATTGCCGTCTTCTGGGTTGTTTTTCCAACATCACAATCAAGCCCATAGCACTAGGATTTCCTCGTGCTCTACCATCCTACTATTAGCCAAGTCTGACCCTGCTTAGCTTTTGTGAGATCAGCCAAGGTCAGTGGTTCATATCAGGTTCACATGTGTTTTCCCAGATATCCACTCCATCTTCTTTCCATATCTACAGTGGTGCTTAAAACTTTGTGAACCCTTTTGAATAAATAAATGAACAAGTATAATGTTTTTGACTCATGTATTTAATTGTCTTCTCTTTATCTAGTTTCAGGAGTTGTGTGGAGAACAGATCACATTTTAGGTCATATTTATGCAGAAATATTGAAAATTCAGTATGGTTCACAAACTTTTAAGTACCATTGTATCTGTATTTTTAATAATCTACATAAAATTCACATTAATATGTTAAACATGGTGTTCATCAATGTCTAATTTTCTTGATTCATTTGAGAGTATTAATGGCTTAGCAGACTTTTTCCATTCTTGGATTTTATCTTGTTTTTAAAAAACAGCATAATATACAGCATTTTCTTTCAAAACA